AGCGTCACCTCGCCACCTGGCGTAATCCCTCTTCGGCACGGACGTGAAGTCAGATTGATCATATAGCTATTAGCTATAGTTGAAGAGGATGTGTGAAAGACTGTCGTTGGTCTATCTTCTTGGACGCACTCGTTTGTGCCAAGTTGTGTATGCGATTTGGTGGCCGCAAAACAATGAAATGCAAACAGCTTGACGTTGTCAAGCTTCCTGCCCCGGCCGTTCTAACTGATTACCAAAACGAGTTGGCTGCAAGGTTAACTACTACTCCACCAAAAAGCGTAGATCAAAATGCAATGCACGCAGCCAGTTTACACAGTTGTGGCCTGACCCGCCAAGTTGTGAAACACCGAGTCTCCTCCAACTCTCAGAGGCTTCTTAATGCGCGTCAGGCAATCCCGGCATGCCGTGAATACAATCCACTGGACCGCCTACAGAAGCGGATATCCAAAAGGAACTGTCAGCCACGAAAAGCCACAAGACAGTTGGATCAGACGACGTGCCACCTGCCCTGTAAAACCTTAAGATCGCTTGTTCATCGTTCATCATGAACGATATTCACGGAAAACGGCCAAGTTACCATTGTTGTTACTTTTTATTGTTTGGGGATTTAGTGTAATAAATGATCAATCACGATGAGAATGCACCTTGACATGGTGTGATGGCTTACGTGCCTCGATGACCCTGCGAGCTATATAGGATAGATCCTCACAGCCGCAAATCCAATCTTGTCTGAGATGTTAATGGGTAGAGGCCAGACGAAGATCCCTCTCGCAAAGCCAGCTTCTTGGGCACCTCCTGGGTTCCATTGACTATCCACTCCAGCCCCTGGAGATGTCACTCCAGCAAGAAACACGAGGAGGGGCAGTTTACCGGTCAAAAGTCCCCGCTAGATGGACGTAGGAGCGGGGTACTTAGGGCTTCCTCCAGACGGTGGGAGAAGTTTTCGCACTTCGCCGGACAGATACTGCCTACCCAAGCTAAGCAGCCCCTAGCCAATAAGTACTGTTCCGTCCACGTTCCGCTTGTCTCATTGAGTGAATTAGGCTAGAAACGGACCGTCAACCAGCGCAGCGGCGTATAAACAACCTAATCGAAATTTAAAGTCTTTGCGTGACAGGTCTCCAGAAGCTCCCACATGGTGCTTCGTTCACGCTCCCGCGTTGGACCTACGACCCACTGCCTTGGGATGTCAGACTTCTGATTCGAGGGCTCCGGTTAGGGTTTCTGAAGAGAAACCTATTTGTTGGTTTAGGCTACCGTGATGTATGCTCCCCCAAAGTCTTAGGAACACCATCTATCTTATCTTTCCACTTCATCTTCTCACTTCCAAACCTTAGGAGATGCTTCGTGTTTGCGCCAACCATGGGATATCACTCAGCGTTCAACTGATGAGGTTAACCACTCAGAGGCTATCAATTTCTAAAACTAAAATCCCCTGTTCACTTAGCTGCATTTAATGTTCACACACTATCAGATCGGGCGACAAACTGCCTTGGCTAGAACCCTTGAAACCTTCCATTTAGATGTATGGTACGTCTCCGAAACACATACAAGACTACTTCAATTATCTACCTGCGTTCTCCAGTTCCATCATCATCCTCATCCTTCACTTTCTGTGTGTCAGGCGATTCGGCATCCAAAGCTGGAGGTTTTGCTGCTGTTGAGTGTCGAGGCCGAGCGTTCCCTTCTCCACTGAATCCCGGTTAGCAGCCGACTTTGCGCTGTACGTCTTGCTAGTTCAGTACTCATCAGTAGATACAGAACGAAGCGTCGGTGCTTATTCGTCATATCACTGTATGNACTGTATGCACCGACTGATTGCAGTTCGCCAGAAATGACAACAGAGAACGCCTACTGCAACTTTGTGTTCACCACGGACTGTTTCTATCAAGCACGAAATTCTCGCACACAAAATGACACCGCCTTACATGGAATCCGCCAACGTCTTCACAGCGCTGAACTCAAACTGACCACATCGTCATCAGCCACCGCTGGTGAGGATCCCATAATGACTGACGCTCCTGCTGGCCAACACCCGTGGACACGAACCATACTCTGCTGCGCCTTGTGCACAACCGCAGAAAAGCCACCGAAAACGGATGCCCATAATACAGTGTCCACAATGGCCTTCGAGGCGGAACTATCAGATTGCCTCTCAGTTCAACCATCAGTCGGAGAACTCAGTCAGCACTGGAAGGCAATCAAGGAAGCGATCCAAATGTCAATCGAAACACAGACAGATTCCGGCGTAAGATCAAATAAAATTGATGGATCTCGCCGACCTCGGTTGCCCTGCTGGACGCTCACAAATCCATTCCTTCGGATTGAGAATACGGCAAAGCGCGCAACTCCCTTAAACGCCAGCTTATAAAAAGTCTGAGGAATGACCGCGAGAAGTTATGAGTAGGGAAGTGTAGAGAAATGGATAAGACTGTTGCTATCGGTGATAGTTGCAATCGTTTTCGTTCAATAAGGAGTACAAGTTCAAGAAAAGAAGGCGTAATATTTATTTTCACAAACATCCTAATCCATACTGTGTCCAACAAATCATGATGCAATAATCTTTATGAGAAAGAAAAACGTTTCATGATTTTCATATGAGCGGAATACTGCCAGGTTGCCCAGGCGTAAGTGAGGTAATTAAGGAGTCTGACGGCACTCAGATTCCTATTCAGGACGCCGTCTTGAGCAATGCGCCGAACATACTAAGGCACAGTTCACCTAGCCCCCGTCTACCAAAGATCCCCTATACCCGCTTCAACTGTGAAATATTGCCAGTCGACTTGCATCTGCAATGGAGGTTATCTGAAAACTAAATTATCTCAAAACTTATAAGGCTTTCGGCCCGGAAAGTTTTCCGCATCGATTTTTAAGAATGGATACTCAGCCTTGGTTTTGGAGTTACCGAAACTTCCGGGCTCAGTGTGGGAAAGGGAAGAGGTTCCAACTGAATGATCATACCGATTTACAAGAAGGGCGACAAACCTTCTGGTGAAAACATTATCTCTAAACTTCTCGCCGGCATCGCATTCCTTCGATTGTCTGCCGCAGGTGAAGAGTGCACGCGTGAAAACCAGGCTTGTTTTGACCTGGTCGAGGTTGTATCGACCATATTTCCACTCTTCTTCAAATTCTGGAACACAGACACTCCTTTCGTAGACTCACCATTTCTATCTTCCTCGGTCTGAAAACGACGTTCGACTGAGTCGACCGCTCTAAACTCTGGCGCTGCCTTTTCCTGAAGGGTGTGCCCGAGAAATTTATTTCAGTATTACTATCCCTTTATACTAATAGCCAAAATCGAGTCCCAGCTTACAATACCTTTTCACCTGAGTTCACCACGGAAAGTACTCTCTCTCTCTCTCCGTTTCTGTTTAGATTTGTCATAGATTTAATTCTTGAAACCGCCGTATCCTCCTGCAAGGATAGCGGTACCGATTTACTCCCAGGAGTATACAGACGACATTGTATTGTTAAGTGAAGACCCAGGTAAGTTACAAGCTCTTATAGATAGTTTGAGTGCTAGTGTTGCCATATTCGGTATGCCTTCTGCACCTTCAAAATGTAAATGTTGCTTCAAGATTGGATTGGTCCAGCCTTCAACCTCTGCCTGACTGGAGAAGTAATAGAGGAGGTAGACAAGTTTTGCTATTTCTCACCTGGCGGACGCATCACAGATGAAGTATCGGTGCGCATACAAAAGTCTCGGTTGGCGTTTGCCAACTTGATCTATCTGTGGCACCTTCGTGAAATCCGGCTGTGTGTAAGGGGTTGAGTATATCCTGTGGCAGTTCGGCCAGTTCTGCTTTACTGTACGAGACTTGGCCATTATGGAAATAGGATAAAAATAGATTATCGGTGTTCGACGACCTCTGTCTACGTGGCATTTAACAAGTCTGGTGGGGTAACCGGACGAGCAATGCTGACGTTAGGCGTAGAGTTTTAGGTAATCAAGCATCTACGAATTATTGTTGAATTTGTTGTTAATATCGCAATTTCATTTTGCTCTTTTATTCAAATGGGTGACCAAAGACAGCAACCAAAACCGGTGCACGAAAGTACAAGGTCAACGGTCGTGAAAACTGAGGCCGAAACTCGTATAAATAATAATAATAATAATAAATTTTCAGGGTGTAGCTAATCGATAAATTCAAGGACTGTCGAGAGGAACGATAATTGATGTATATCCTCCGAAGTTGTCCAATCGGGTCCCATTGCAGCCATCAAATTTCTCATTCAACTATATCCTCCACGGCACCCCTAGATTTATCTCTTAGTTTGTCCAAAAAAATCATTGTTCATTTTTCTCCTTCACTTACCCAATTGAGCTTAAAAACTGAGATGTTCATCATATAAGGTATAATTTTCCTGTTAGGCCACATGAGTTATTTTGTGTAAATATTTTTAGTTCCTTTTAATTTATTAAGTATACAAATGCACATTCAACTTTCAGAAAAAGGATCTCGGCTATACAAATGTTGTCCGGGGAATTATATCAGTGAGAAAGATGGATTGAGGTGGAATGGACCCAAACTCTCTATTTCGATGACCCTCATCACTCGATTGCCGCTTTCGGAATAGGACAATGATACCATTTTATTTGAATGAGCTCCTTCGTATTCCGGTATCCAATATTTTATTGCTTGTTATTTTGAAAACTAAATGAAATGCGAGTCCCGGTGCTAACGACGAAATCCATTGTCACTACGCGGTAACCGGAGCTTATGGTTAAGGTTTTTTTAGTGTACCTCCACAGATCATTATTGTGACATTGTTGGGATTGACGGCGATTCAGTCTGCTGCAATAAATTCTCCCACACCTTGCTGAAATGGTTGCATGGATCGAAGCCCATAAGCGTTTTCTACGTCTCGCTTTCTACTTACCGGGATCGCAATTTGTATGTTGCCAGTCAGACTATCAGTCGAATGGAATGATTCGTACTGAGCTGTCTATCCCGTTTTTATTTCTCAACTGCAGAGTTATCTCAGACAACGGTCGAGAAGCACGATTTCCGTACTTAGATGAAAATGTCATCTCATTTCTGAACCGATTGCCATTGCATTTAAAGGTACGTTACTTTCCTATTTCGTCTGTTAGCCGAGCTTGGCAATTTGTTTGCAAACGTTTCATCACCAGCCGAGGTGACATTATCAGTGCTTGTGAAGTTACTTTTCTATGCGCTCCAAAATCCTGCTCAATAACAGACGGAATTTTATAGTACAGCACCGATGTTATGGAAACCAGTCACAAATGTAAACTTAGGAATAGATGACTGTGAAGTTGCTCATCGACAATGAACGGAGTTATTTAAAACGACTTCCAACCACTATTATCCGTCTGAATTATATACTGATTAGGGAGATGATACTGCAAACTAAATTTTTTTGTATGCTCACATTGTGGTCAAAACCAGGAAAGTGTCGTATATGTACTGACGATATCCGGAATGAACGTGCATTTCAATGCACAAGATTTTATTAGAATCTCACAGACACTCGAAATGAGAGTTGTTATGCTATCGCTCTCAGTGAAATTTGCTGTTACAAACACAGCAGTCTTTGGACTGCAGCTTTTATAGAAGTAAACTAAATTCAAGCGGGCAGCGAGCAAGAGCAACACCTGGAAATGGGATTAGTAGAATGTAACCACAAGCACGGGACTCAACCACCATAAGTTTAGGCATATTCTGCCTCCAGAATCTCCATATATTTGATTGGTAAGACCCGAGGAAATATGCGTACAGTACGGCATGCCCAGTTTCAGAGTGACCCGTGCAATGTGCTAACTACAGCGGAAAATACGAGACAAGGGACGCGACAAAAGTATACGACCACCCATATCTAGTGCGCCTTAGTATTGTGAAACCGGAAGAGCTATCGGGTTTGATAACAGGTTGCCTAAGTCGTTTATGAGTGTGCCTATTAAAATTTTCATTAGACCTTAATTTACGTGACCCGTGTGTGCTGTATCACGTGATGTATCCCAGTTGTGGAATCTCTCTAGGTGATCTTCAGAACAGAACTGACTACATTTTTTCTGCACAATATTACGAAAGAAATTAACGGATTTCAAGAGGAGTGAAACATCTAATTTCTACGACATAGGTTTCAGTTTGCATCAAGTCACCATCCTATTTAAGAGATCGTTTGTACGCAGCATCTGGAATGTTGCGACTAGTATCAGCCTGCAAAGTGAGCTAGTTCACCAGGACTAATCAACTTCGGGCCACGTTTCACGCCCCGTATTAGTGCATGTTCCCGCAATATGTTGAATGGGAGGCAGTGTTTCGAACTAAACGCTGCCAAGAACGCTCAAGTGTTTACCGTGGATGAAACACAAAACTGAAAAGATCGTGGACTGAAACACACGTAGCATGAACGAACCGGTGTAAAATATTCACTATCCTTGACGAAAAACTTAATCTACAGGAGCTGGAAGTATTGCTGGTATAACATAAAAAGGAAAGACCTAATGGTTCAAGATTCGATAATCGATGAGCTGGAATGGTTTCGGGAGCCGTCTAAGCCACCGAATAAATTCAGCTGCTTATATTCTGAGGATATAAAAGATTCAAATTCGCACGTTGAGGCATTTGTTACTCACGGAACTGAGGAGTAAACAGCTAGTACTCATCGTGTTGCTTTCCACAGATAGAAGAAAAGTTTTGGTTGTTGCTCCGTGGGATCAGGTTCATGCAGCGCCAGAACTGTAAACTAGATCTTAATCAGGTGCAGTTCATTTTGGAGTTATTCGCTCGCTTGGTGTATAAGGATTCCCGTGGGTTACCAGTCCGATAGTCAAGTGAGAAACGTTCCTAGGGGCGAATAGGTGAAACGGTGAACAATGGAGAACAGTTCTTGTAAAAAGATTTATCGCCGTTTTCAAATCTGTCGCACTAACTGAACTGAGCAGCTTTCTATACTTTTGTCGCACACCCCTTCTACATATTGTTTTTCGCCATAATGCATTTGGTCTCACAGCCTTGATGTGGTTTTTTGACACTGTAGACTCATAAATATGCGCTAAATTATGGGGTGGCAATATATTTGTCGTCCACTGTATGCTTGAAGTACTCACCTTCACGGCTGGTCTTTGAGCAGGTAGTGTATGGTATATGAATTGGGCTGTCAGGAAATTATCTGGTGGTTTTGTTTGTTTGTGTATGTGAAGACTGAGACAGCTATAGTGTTCTGAATGCCTAATTGGAATTGAGAAGATCTGGTTGTTCATGATCCATTACAATATATTTCCACTATAATTAATGGAAGACATTCAACACATTCCGTGGTAGCAGTCTTCGCGCTTAAAGAGCCCGCTCCATACTTCAATTTGATTCATGCATGAAGTGACTTGTCTCCGATTTTAATCGTGTGTGTCTGCCTTGATGTGTTCCACCCACCCACCCCTAGTTTTACGGTTGTTCGAATCATGCCGTCGTTGCTTCTACAAACCACTTTCCGTTCGAAATATATCAGTGGAGCCGTTGATCTTATTCAAGATTCGGATCTGTTATCATCTACTAATTTTAAGCTTTTGACAACAAACACCAGTCGGGTTACTGCACACAGTACGTTTTTCTTCTCAAAACCACATTGANATTGACCGACTTGAATTGCACCTCTTATCACCCGAATCGGTTTATTTATATCCCGTCAGACTGAAACTGACTGGGACGGTTTCATGTGTTGCCAAAAACAAAAACACTCGAATGTTGGTGGTATTTTCATTGCAGTGGGACACTCCGTCAGAATTGTTTGTTGTTCTTTAGATTGGGTCGATTCTGTGGTCAGTTTTCTGGTGTGATAAGTGTTTCCATTGTGCCAACCAACTTGTGAAATTATTTCGTGGTAAACCTTGCCAGCGTTCTGTTTCATTATCTCTTGAACCTACAATTAGTGTAAATAACAGGTGGGCAGACATTTCTGCGAACGAGATCACACCGTTCCGCGGAAGAGAACGCATACAACACCGATCTCTATCAGACCCGAATATGTGAAGTGCATGGCTAATGTTTGCCAGTCTACTGCACACAAAGTGCGTGCGGCTGTGTATGTGTTCAATCGGGAGACGAGGTAATTAGGCGAATTAAATTATAGCTTTCTTCCTGTGCATCGGTGTATTTCAGGCCGTCTGTTTTTAGCTTGTGCTCGAATTGCATGCACAGAAGGGAAAGCTAGTGGATTCTTCCTGGCCTAGTGCTGCGCAAACGGCTTGAAAAGCTGGGTTTCGGGGTTTGACCGATCTAGACGCAGAGAAAAAGGGTCCAAATTAAGTTTGATCGTAGATTTGACTATCTATGCCTAATGTCAGCTTCGATGCGTAAGCACCGATAAGGACGAAACGGTTATCCACGGATCGTTGTTTCACCGATACAAATAATTTCACTTTCAAACAAAAACGATAACTACATGATGAGGTCGGTGAACAATCCTTGAATGACGCCCCCGTATTCGCACAGAATGAAACATGAACATGTTCACTGAGGACACCCCTTGCGTAATGCATTGATGCAGTAGTCAAAAGCTGCAGAACGATGACTTTAACTTGTGTAATAAAGAAAGGAAAATGAAAAAAATCAATAATAGTTGCAATAATACCCATTTAATTTTCGGCCATCTAGTGTACGACAATGTGGATTCGATACTCCGGAAACGGTTCGACAAACGGTTGAAGTTTGGAAGTAGGGTGATAGTGGTGGGGTTCAAAGTCAAACTACAGAATAGTGACCGGATCACCTTCAATGCTCTACTGTTTTACGATCTATCTTGTTCAGTTCGAATTATGCGCCATTCCAACTACACAAAGCGATAAAACAGAGGTTTCTTCTCTTCCTAAACATGTAGTTAAAGGACCCTTCAGTCATTTGCGTGCATGGGTTTTGTTCTTACTTATTGTCTGTGCCTTTTTGTATCAATCACCTTTGAAAGTCAATTGGTTCGTGAATACCAGATGAATGTCTACGTTTGATTGACGAAACAATGAAAATCTTGAAAGTGTTTCATCGTGCAATGTCACCCTGTCACACAAATGTACGCAACTGAAATCACTCAAGTCTTCGTCTTACCTGGCGTTTTAGGGATAATCATCGGTGGTTTTGCACCGAATGGGTGATTTCTAGAATCCAGAGACACATTAGCGCTAGAATATTCGGGGTTGCCCAATGGTTGATTTCATGTGAAGCCTACGTTTCACCTATATTTCATTTGCGCTTTGTCATCAAGAGGTCAATATCATCTGCTACACGTGAGGTGCTTTGTCTGTCAATTATCGCAAGCTTGAGATAGCTCTAAATGGTCATCAACCGCCTAAGTTAAATGTGGGTGATACGTGAGCATCAGATTGTGAATAAAAATGTGTTCGTTGGATGCCGATTTTTTCGTCGAATTTCCTAAAATTCATCCAATGTAATGAAACTTACGATTGCCTTTTTGCTTACTTTCCCTGTATCGTTACGCTTCTCAGACCGATCTTACCCTTCCTCGTGGTGTGGGCGAAAAACTGCTGCTCCGACAAGTTGCACGACTGTTGGGGTTGACGCATGCTTCTTACTTACCCAAACGTGCTATGCAGTTTGGCAGTCGAATAGCCAAGGCTGAGGGGTCCAGTCGTCTTGGGGGTCCAGCGGATCGGTTAACCGTGGATAACATCAGTCGATCCGGGGCGAAAAATTAAGCAATCCGTGATGGGTCTTTACGAATTCGTAATATTTTTGAACGCCGTTCTGATTCATTGTTTCTGTAGCATCCTACGGAGAAAATCGGAAGCTTGCGATGAAAAATGTGAATATATGAAATTTTCAATTGTTTACTTCATTCTTTTGTGTTTCCTATATCAGTATAGGACAATTCTCCGAGTTCCACTTCTGTCCACTTCTGTGTTCTCACGTTACAAAAATGAAAGAAGGGTACATTCTTGCACACGAGTAAATCAAACAGTTGATCTATGTCAAACAGATTAGAAGTGCTGTGATCCAAGAATCCTCAGTCGGCCCCCAGTTGGGCAACGTCTACACTGCTTATTAAGAATTGGACGATAGAGCAATATCATCAATACTAGTCCCCTGGAATAGTTGCTTACAAAGCTTACATTGATGGGAATCAAACTGTCCATGTCATTCAAAGATTCCGCACTTCTTTTGCTGAAACTGGTTGTCCTCATCGAAATATTGATTCTATTATTATTATTATCATATTATATTTCACGTTTGTCTAAGTCCAAACAGTGTGCCGAACAATAACATACAATTATACGATGGAAATATATAAACGTTTTCAACATGTTTGGACCAAGAAAGATTGCGTGACAAAGTGATTCCAAGATACTTCACAGAGTTAGCTTTGCGGATGGTATTACCATTAACAGAAAGTACA